TGGTTTGACCCCAAAATTAAAATCACACCTGCTAATCAACTCATTAAAAAAGGACTTAGTTTCGATCCTAACTTCTCAGAGGGTACATATCGAGGAAGTATTGTTAACAAAATAATAATCTTAAAACTTTTTTTTTTCAAGACCTGGTTTGTATTTTCCCGAGTAAAGTACTGCAAATATTTCTGCATGGAACTGTAGGAAAAAGGAATGACCCGGCATTCTTTGCAGTCGAGAAATATAATTTAAAATATGCCTAAAGATATCAAACAGAAGATGTTATAAGCTGAACTTAGATACAAGTTATGGCAAAGGACATATTCAGAGCATCAAGTCACCTTAAAATAGAACATCATCCTAGCAGCAAATGGTGCCGTACCTCGATTTTAAATAGAAAATTGAAATCCACCAAATCGGGAAAAATCTTTTCCAAATAAAAGGGCCCGGATTCCCCAAACGAGTTCGAGGACATGACCTCTTCCTAATTCGGCTTAATAAAGAAAGCCCTAATTTCCACATTCCGGTCACAGTGAGTAAACCGATGATTTTTTTATAGAAGATTTGAGAATTAGTTTTTCAGGCTATTCGCAAATGAGACACATGGTTTCCATTCGTCATAATCACATCAGTTGAGCAATATCTGTCAATTATGGACTGAGGTACAGAAGAGTGATTCAAAAGATATGATTTTATGTGACGTAAGCACAGAGTAAAAATGAAATCCCAAATCTTGACTCCCTCTTCCCTTAAAATAGTGACGGCAGCTTTCTTTAGATGGGATTTACATAAAAATGCAGGTGTTACCTCCCGGCGCGAACCCTTCCACTACAAAGATCCGAAAGTTGATTTTCCTACCTGATTACTAAACACTTCCTTGTCAGCTCAATAGAGTTAAAATGAGCTTTTTAAACACTGGCTCATAGATTATTAGCAACTACAAATAGTAGAAATTAAATCCAAAATCTTAATTCCCCCTTCCCTTAAAATAGTAAGGGCATCTTTCTTTAGACGAGATTTACATAAAAATACAGGTGTTACCTCCTGGCGGAGGAAACGTAATGACATCGATATGCAACTGACTCATAGCTATAAATAGGAACTCAAAACCAACGAATGATCGTCATGGATGTAAATTTATCATCCCCTCTGAAAACACTTTTTTATGTCTGTGTGTTTGTTTTGTTTTGTTTGTCTGTTTGTTTCTTTAGTTCTGGTTTATGTCCTGAAAGATTCGTTACGCCGCCCAAAACCCTAGTCACGGTTTCTTTTTAGAAAAAAAAAGCAGAAGTCAAATAAGTAACTGATAGTAGGGTATCACTACCAAATTTAGGCCTTCAAGCGTTCTGATTTTCACTTAGTTAGTCGCCGTCTTCTTTTACCTGTCTCTTAGGTGTGGTTTAAAAATCGTCGGGCCAAGTATCGCAAACTTAAAGGATCTAAAGAAACAGGTGACCTGGAAAGTAAGGATGACCAAGAAACGATAAAGAAGAAAAATGCGGATGATGATCTTCAGGATGTTGAAGGTTCACCTGTTGGGGATGAAGCCCATTCTTATCACCAAAATAAGCGGCTAAAAGTTGATCGAGATCTAGAAGACAGTAATATCGCAGTTCCTACACGTCCAGTTCCTCTGAGCTCTGGGTATGTGTCATCGCCTTTCTCTTCGAGGTCTTTTCCGTTTGACCCAAGGCTGCTATCAGGATATGGTTATACTTATGTGCCTGAGTGGGTCTATTACGACTCGGTAAACAACTGCCAGCCGCGTCCAGTTAATGTACAACAGCTGTATCCCAACATAGGAGTTATTCACTGAGTTTATGCGAAAGGCTTTGGTGTAAAATGTAATCATTACTTATCTTTTCAAAGAAACAACATACTAGGAATACGATGAGAGACTCAGGCTTACGGAGCCATAATGTGGTGCAAACAGCGCAGACTACAGCTTCTCTCGCATCATCAATGTAATTTATTGCGTCATGTCTGTAATTTTTTTTAGGAATATAGAAAGTTCTGTTGTCAGGGCAAAACATCTAAAGGAGGTGACGGAAAAACGCGTTCAAAAATCATCTGTTTGGTAAAACTTAAAGCAAATGTAAATACTAAATATGTATACACTTATGCAGAACAAATTTGATAATAGTCATACTTATTTATAAACATCTGTAATATACTTGTATTTAAGCCGTTTCCTAAGTTTGTACCATTTCACTATTTGAAACTGCTATGTTCAACTGCGTTTGAATTGAGACTATGTTGGCAATAAAAAGGAATTTAGGCGACTTATTTAGAATTTAAATTGACAGAGGATTATACAAGAAATCTGTCATCGCTGAACATCTCAACCTTGGACCGTTCGCCCACTCGTCAGTGGGTGCATCGCTGTTATTTTATCTTAAAAAGCCAAAATAAGGCTGTATCCAAGTAGGATCGGATTATTATAACCGTAGCAAGTATCATATGAAGTGTCCAAGGAACGCACAAAGAACACGAATTGTCAAGCCGCAATTGTTAGGCCATAGCTTCTCAAGCTTGAGTTAGGTTAGCGTTAGGAATCTACCCTGGGTACCTATGATTTAGGTCACGTCTGAAGGCGTCTCAGTAAGCCAACATAGTTTAAGCCAACAATCCTCAGCCCTAAGCCGTAAAAGGCGTTAACACCGAGTCCCACGAGGTTTTTAATAAAGATCCCTGCCGAGCATAGTATCAAAAAGCGGACTTGCGCTGTAAGGTGGCACGAGAAAGCTCATTTCCTATTCCCTTCCCTGCTTCGAGACATCAAGAGGAAATAATGGGCATTGTTTTCTATTGGAGACAATTAATATAGACAGTCTGAGTTTGGATTATAACTTTTTCTTCCTTAGCCAAGAAGTCTCCTTCTTCGAAGATTGTGTGTCTCTTTGTCAGTCCATCCCATACTCTCGTCTTAATTCAAGAAGACGCCAACAGTCTTTCCCTGGTCTCTCCTCCCCGGATAGGCTTTTACAGTATTTCCTGCTCTGTCAGCAAAACCATAATCGTGTTTGCTGGTCCACCAAATACTTTTTTTTCTCCCATTTGCCGAAGTCTCTCTTATCTAGTATTCAATAATTATCGTGCTTTCAAGTTCAATATTTGATGGGGCAACACAGCGGGGGATAATCATACCAAGTGTGAAAAAGTTGAGAATTCGCAGTTCTTCCAAAGAGATGTAATCAAGCTCCTTCAGCTTTTAGAGCAAGTTCATTAAAATTTCATTAGCATGGCAAATAACATAAAAACTTACCCACATGTCAATAACAATATTAGTGAATGAAAATATGAAGTTATAATTATCTTAATTTGCCAAATGTTTTAAAGCCGATTAAGGTTAATCGAAGATTGAAATCTCACCATTTTAAATCTCATTGCAGCATGCCTTTCCTTCTCACCTTGAACTCAGTCAAGGATTAGGGTGATGAATCACAGTCAAATTGATGCTGTCGACAAAAGAACACGAAATAAGCAAATTGAGTGGTTAAGCCAAAGATTTTTTGATAAATTCTGAGAACAAAGGAAAATATGGGACAGGAAAGGCAGAGAGGAAGAAGTTCAAAAAGATAGACGGCGAAGCCTTAGAGCAGACAATCATAGGGAAGAAGCCTTAGAAAAATAGAGAGTATTGACAAAGGTCATAAGAAGCAATGCCGTAATGATGAAGGAAGAAGCCGGGGTGTCAGTAGTAACCAGGGTACAGACAGGGAGTATATCCGATATATCGCCTTCTCAGCTTAGCACATGGAAAATCTCTGTATTATGATATTAATGGTTTGTGGCAAGGCCATCAGAATGGACCGACAACTGATAATCACCTTTGGTAGTTATTGTCCACGATGGCTCGAATAAAGATTTGTGTAACATGGCCAGTGGGCATACATACTTTCATCTCTAACCTCCTCTTTGCCCTTGATTTGCGTCATGCATTTAATCAAGAATGTCTTTAATGGGGTGAAATTCCCCAAACTAAAAATGAAAAAAAAAACAAAAAAAAAAAACGAAAAAGAATTAAATCCATACAAAAACAGGCAAAAATGCGTGAATAAGAAAATAAGTACGATTAAGTCACACCGGAAAAGCTTACCATAAGAAGAGTCTTGAGAAGCCAGACGGTTGGTCGTCCATGCTAGAGAAGCATAAACAATAGTTCTGTCTGGTTTGAACAAAGAAATATCTGCTTTAACTATAGCGATTTATGATCAAGCCATCGCTGATATCTTTTCTGAAGATCCAAGACAAAGGCTCTTTTTATGGGGTATTTGGAAATGAGAATTGAACAAGTCTTAAAATGCAAAATAAATTTCGAACATAACCTAATTAAAGGTTGTTGATAGATGTTAGTCGGTAGAAAGCAGTCTTACGCGTTCATGATTATCCTTTTTTACTGCTACCACAAACCTTCTCTGAGATGAGGGAAGTTGTGAAATCCAGTAGTATTCTTGACAAATTTTGGGTAATCCCTTGTGTTGAGGTCTTGAGAGTAAATTATAATGAGTACGATAATTTTGGAAACTGATCAGAACTCGAGATAAGCTATCGTATCTTAGCTTTCGGTATTTTAACGACTCAAAAGAATCTTCCTAAAGGTCGAGTTATTTTCAATTTTGGCTTGCTTAATTATACCTCCAAGAACGCAAAGTTTGGATTCCGAACGAAAGTGTTGATTTTACGTCTTAATACAATTAGCACACAACAACTTCGGGCCGGCTGAGAATGCGAATGAAGGTCAGCACATCCGTTTTATAGATCCTTGCTCACCATGAAGCTGCGTGAATAGCGCTATTACATTTTAATCTGGTATTTTCCTAAAAGCTAAATTGCAGCCACACACGGTGCACTTCCAAGTACGATAAAAACCCTTCGAGTTTTTTTCTTGTTTTTTCGCCCGCCCTTCACTGGAAGGTTTCCGGGAACATTTATCAATGTCAAATAGCTTGGTATAATCGCATTAACAGCTGGTTATACTCACACGCACACCATCATATCTCAAATCTGCACTCGTCGTTGAACGGGAAGACTCTGCCAGCCTTCTCTATACATACAGAGGATCTTACCATTTTCTGACTTAGCCTACATATACAGACCATGGACACCCACCCTTTTTCTATAGAAAGCATTCTGAAGAAGCCCTATGCTAAGAAAGTCGAAGAAGAGACAAAAACGCAGCCTTCAAACTCCAACGAGGCGCTATCATTAGCTGTAAAGCTGGCTGGTAAGTTTTAGTCTAACACAGGCAAATGTAAGTGAATTAAACCAAGTCTTAAGCGTCGTTACAAATGTTTATTGGCAAGGTTGAGAGGAAAGCCTTTGGATAACACTGCCTTGTGGTAATGTAATTTATAAGAAATGTCTCTGTCAGCAGTGATGTGGGAAGTTTTGATAAACCATCTTTTAGTTCACAGACAACTCGGGTGGAGACGGAAACCTCCTTTTTTCGCAGATATTAAATGTTCATAGACCTTAGCTCGTTAAATTGCTTTACGTAGATTTCACATGTTAAAGGAAACTTATTACTAGTCGCCCGTTCGAATACCTTTAACGAAATAACCGAGGAAACTGTCCATACCATTAAATGGGGTAGTCCACTCTAGCTCATCAAGACATTAGGTAGTGTGCACAAAGAGCGGTTGCAATAAAGTACAATGGAAAATTAAACTTGTTGCTAACAACGCAAGACTGAGAGGTCAGGTTGGACGGCACCAAACACGTAGTTAGTGCAAACAAGATAACAAGGCGTCAAGAGGTTTCAAAATAATTTATATTCACTCGTATGTCTCTTGTTGATGTACATGAGGCAGATGAGAAACCGTTGCCTGAATAAGTAAGGTATACGCTGTAATCTATGGCCTTTCCGCCCTTCGAAATTGAAATCGATGTATGTGTTATCTGTATAAGCTGTTCCTTTAAAGTTAAACAGACGGCAATCTTGAACAAAGCATTGATCAAAGTGGAAGCTCATGTTTTAGAGAAAATCTGCTGATTTCGTGACCCCCCTCTTACAACCCCTGCTTATCAAATGACTGAGGGTATTCTTGTTTGTCTTCTTGGCGCCGGCTAGAGATTCAAGATCTAGATAAGACAATACTATGGAGAACAAAATGAAATAATGTTCCACTTTAGGACCATAAAGAAACTAGATACCCTTTTAAGAATTTAGAAGCCACTTCGTAAGGCCACAGTGACTTGCATTTGCGATCTCTACGCTGTCTCCTCTTGATTCTCTATGGAAGTGGGTACTCATTTTTTGACCACTGAACCACATTGACCGTATGATGTATTTCCTCTCTTACCTGGTAGTTCTCCCACACAAAAAACCAAATCCCGTTTTTTTTTATTTTCGGGCAAAGAAACTTGGTTGTGTTCAAAAGCATAAGTGACTGATAATACCGTAGCCAAATTTTATAATAAGCTCTTGATTCTGATCCTGTTACCTTTGGTAGTTTTTCAGAGAGGGATAGGATAGTTGCACTCACACTGTTCTGGGTGGTTTTGGTGGTCCGCTCGTTGAAGCACTTTTCTTAACCCTTAAACAATTTGAGTTTTGGCATCCGCGAGGCCTAGCCAGTAATATAAATTGTTTTTTTTTTTTTTTAAAGTGCTTGCCGCGTTTAACTGGAAGTGCAAAGCATAACAATTTTCCATAGCAACAAGGAACAGACTGAGAGAAAAAAACCCGCGTAAGGATCGGAAACCAAACCTTAGGAGATTGTAGCCAACTCCCTGTTCAGAGTTGTTGTTGTTGCTCCTGTTTATATTTTTTAAAATTTTTTTCTTCTTCAGCTGCGAATTATTAGATAAAAGGGATGGTTGGGTTTTACAAGCCACCCCACGAGAGCGGCAGATGTTGAGCCTCAGGGACGGCCTGCTTGAAAACTGTTGTCAGACACAGGGGGAATACACGGACCAGTTTAACATTACCTGAAGCTAGATGAATATCTAGGGTCTCATCAAGCAGAAAAAGGAATTTAGACCTTTACATCAAATGTTGCTAGATAAGCAAGATTCCAAGATTCAATCTTTCACTGACTCTGTCGGCGCGCATTTGGGAATGAAAACAATTTAATCTTGTAAATTATGAGGGTACATACCTTAAAATAAACTGACTAAATGGCTGCTGATGGATGCTGTCGGAGAAACAAGACTTCTAATGAATCAGAATTTCATAGGGTATGGTTAAAAAGGGAAATGCTTTCCCTAATTCTTTAATCCTCTGCGACGAGAAAGGCTAGCTTAAATGGCGTTGTTGAAGCTTAAGCTTGTTTGTTAGCGCATTTTATGCGGAACTCATCACATTTGGTGAGAAGACGTACCACATTGGAATCCAATACACGGAAAGATAAGTTGGGACTGGCCCAACCAGCAAGCGCCAAAATGTTATTGTGACGGGTGTCTCGATGCAAATTTGCATCAACGGCACTAAGAACTAAACTGTGGGATTATAATCGAGCTGAAATTTTCCACGATAGTTCATTACTAAAAACGCTACACAAATCTACACAACGTTTAAAATGGAGTCTGCGGAAAAAAAACTCGAAAGTATGAAATTCAATTTGGCTTAATTACTTTTACAGCTGCTGAATTCGAGCGAGGGTATCGTATTTGTAAGATAGCAGGCATGTCTATCCATTTTACCAAACTGCGCCTTAATGCTGTCTCACTAATGATTACCTCCTCTTAGATGTCATACTGGAAGCTCAACAAGAGACTACCCGCCGTACACCTCGACGCACGCGCACTGCCTTTACGCATCAGCAGTTGGGAGTCCTGGAACAATTTTTCAATAAAACACATTATCCGGATGTAGAATTAAGGGAAGAACTTGCTGCAAAGACCAATTTGCAAGAAGGCAGGATTCAGGTAGGTTGATAAATTGATGATTCAGTATTTTTCAGTTTTTATCTCTTTTTTCATTATCTGCTGCACGAGAAAATGAGCTGGGCAAGAAAATTAGGAGACAGACTATCCCTTGAAAGGGATGAGGACATCCCTGTCGTTTCTCTTGGAGCGCAAATCCTGGATTTTGGTTTCAATTCACGTGCTCAGGATCATACGTCAGACAAATCGTAGATAACTACTTAGAGGGAGGCGAGGATTGAAAATTTCCCTTATGGAATAAAACCTCCAACCATTAAAGTAATAGCCTTTATCAAGATCCTCATCATCATCCCAAATTAGTGCCAGTAGGCACAGCGCAGGATGCATCAATTAATCCTTAGATAAAACTTCTCAAAAAGACTTTAAAATACTCTTTCAAGTGAATTTCCTACTTGAACTGAAAATCCATTTGCAGTAACTAGCATAAGCGAACCCCACGTTACAAGCTAAACGATTTGTGTTCTTTTTCAGGTTTGGTTTAAAAATCGACGGGCTAAATTTCGAAAGGAGAAAGGAAAATTTACATCAGAAATGGGCCTTAGCAGTAAAAGCGAAGACGAGATTATTCAAAACATATCTCAGGTAATACAAGCTCAAGAAGTACCATGTTGTTTCCAGTGTAACATGTCATTGCCGCACTACTGCATCTGTGGTGATCCCGAGGAAGCCGTGAAAAATTTCCACAGGATTTCTTCTAGCATGTTCTCTCCGTTTGCTACTCATGCTCATTTGGCGCACGTTAATGGTCTTCATTGCTGTCCGAATGGCAGTCATGAAGGATTAAGTGCGGGGTATTTGGCGAGGATGAGGAAGATGAAGAAGAGAAGAGACTGGAGCGTTGGGGAACGCTCCGCACTTTATTCCTTGTGACTAAAAAAGTGAAAAGTCTTTAGAACGAAAACGTCGTTGAAGGATTGTACGAGCGACCAATAAGAGCCAAAGTCGTTTGCTGATGACGTGACATTAGAATCTACGTCAAAACACCTTTCAAAATCAACCAAGTAGGAAATTCTTGTCCCTCCGGACTGAGCAAATATCTGGGAGAAGTGAATGAAAGATAGTATAGTGTCCTGCATGGATCCGGTGTCGATTTTAAACGAGAGATTTGAGAATTAAAATGCTTTTAGTTCCTTTCCTTCAATTTTTTTTTTTTTTTTACTTTAGGACCCAAACCTTACGATTATTGAATACACCGCACACCGATTACCATTACACAGAAGCTTAGACCTCAGTTTTGATGTTCAGAATTTTCCATCTTAACTCTGTAGATCACCACGCCTTTATTAATCTTGTTATAGTTTAAAGATCTAAAGGTCCGAATTCTGTCGGAAAAAGCTGGCTTTTTTGAAGTCCTCCTATCGTACACGTTAGTAATTTAATCTTTGAAAATACTGATAACGGAAGAACACACGAGAACTAGAGAGTGAAACTGACCATGATTTATGGCTTAGTAAGGCACATAGCATTGAGCTCTTCCGGTGTTAATACTTTTAACCCGGTGTTAGAGAAAAGTTATATCACTCCCTATAACCTATCATTAGGGCATCAATGGATTTTTCCATTTTTCACGACTTGACAATTTATGAAATCGATATTCATGGAAACTGATCTAGTGCGAACAAAGGACAATTTGAATAACAGACAGAAGTGTTATGGTGTGTGGTTTATTGTTATCCCCTGTGATTCAGGTAAAGAAAAGAGATCAGAAAAATCCAGCACAATTAAGTGCTTGTTGAATCTATTATTCTTTAATTAACTCAACCTCAGCCTCAACGAATGTGCGTTCACCAAAATCATTCGAGATCCCTATGACATATTATCCTGAAAATCGTGCTAATTAGGGCCCTACAGAGACATTAATCAACGTCAACTTTAAAACGTGACATGATTCAGTTTCAACGGCTTACATGTGAGGTGCATACACGACATATATATCACAATCATACGATCGTAAAATATATATAATGGATACAAATTTATTTTCCATTGAAAGCATTCTAAAGGAACGTTTCTCGCGATGAAGAATCATCGTAGAAACAATACCTTCACGATCCAATCAATCTCCCTGTTTGAGAACCATCGCCATTACCAATTGATATAAAATTGATAAATGAACTTGCTAAAAAACGGAAAACTACTGAGCTTGATTAATGATTACTTCTAAAACCATACCCCTCACCCTGTTTGCAACGGGAAAGCCTGACCGCCAGGGGAGGGACATAATGAAGCCATCCCTTTTCCCACGGGGCATTAAGGAGCAAGAAGCAACCTTGATCTCTTAAGGCTGAGAAAATGATATTCCTGTAGCGTTGCGAAAACTTGCATGGATGTAATGTCATGGATGACAATGGTGATAATTTCTTCAGGGTAGGAATACTAACAAATCTTTTGAAACCTCTCCGATAAGTAACAACTTCTTTTTAGTGCATCTCCATTCACAGTGAAATTAATATAAACAAGATAAATAGCCATTTTTATTTATAGCCCAAGACTATAGCTTCGCTGACAGCACTGATATGGCGATGGAAGAACCGATGAATCGTTATGGGGAAAATACTAATCTAGAACAGAGTCCATGAAGCGTTGTAGTACATTCTTCACCCTTGTGCTACTAGTTACTTATCGCGTAAGCACTTTTCAGGTTAAGTTTACTGCGCTGTACTGGCACCAGAAGAAAGATAAAAGATGTTTTGATAAAAACGCTTGATTGTTTCTTCGATTCGTACTTCCTGTGTTAAGTTATAATAGTAATCTTTCGAGGTTTTCCGTACAACCACATGAACAGTAAAATGATTTATTGTTTGCTATAAATCACTCTCTGAGTTCGCTATATTACCTCTCAGAGAGTAACACGCTTATCTTCTCATCGCAGAGCATTTATCAAAATATGCCACGAACCACTTCTCGCATTACCAAAGGTTTACTTCATAAGCTGAATGCTGTTGTTGAGATTTAATTGTTTGCATGTGCTTTAGCTATTCGATAAATCCGATTAAGGTACACCGCGAAACACTGTTATCTGTTCCAATATCAGTAGTACCAGACCCTTGCTTCTATGAACTTCGTCTTCAGTTTTCTTAATCAAGCTGTATCATGAGAACTCTCTCTGGAAATCTAAAGCGGCGTAAAATTAAGCTTTACGTTGATAAACATGTTAGCTAGAGAGCACGAGTTTTCCATTCAAAATTATGGCATTTTTTGTCTGAAACCAGATGGCTTTCCGAAAAAAAGACGCTTGGTGATATGTAATATTTGTTTATACTGGGCTATGATAACAATTTTTGCGGCCATGTCTCCAAACAGTGAAATCGACTAGAAAAAGGGTGACGGGTTTTTCTCCTTTTTGAGATGAAGTGCTTCTACAACGTAGTTAACCCAATTGATGCGTATTCAGTGTATATGATCCAGTTTCTCGTAATCCCAGGCCGACATTTTAATCCCGGAACTTTGCAGACGACGTGTGAAAATAATGAATAAAAAACGATTTCCTGCAATTGGAGTAAAGACATGCAATATCCCAAACTTCAGGTAATTTATCATCCATAATGAATAAATTGAAAAGTGATACATTTGTTATGAAAAGTCCTCATACTGGACACTGTTCATAATTACGTGATCAAACCTCATAGAGGCTCTTTTCAATTGAAAATGATGCTCATGTCTTTGCTTTATTAAACTAAGATTTTTTCTGAATGCCACAAAGTGATTTGGAACCCGGTGGTTTTAATCCAAGTCTTTTCAGGTGGAGTAAAATTCAAAGATATATAGTATGACAGGAACAAGTGTTTGTCTTGGTTCGCTTTCATGAAAGACGAGTGGACAGGGCAAGGATCCATTTACCACCCAAAACGATGTACAGCGAGTTCTGCCCGTGGGCGCCAGAGAGAAAAAGAGAAATATAGGAGACATGTAAGTTTTTCTGAAGGCCTTTTAGCTTGTCAATGTCGGTTTATAATTTATCTGGTTCGTTCAGCCAAAGAGATGAAGCTTGATAGAAAGTTGGTAATCAGAACCGTAGATTATGCCTCAGTTATCAACCGATGGCCGATAAACATCGCCAAGTATGATGAGCTAAATTCCGAGACTATCTTACACACGCGGCCTCTGTCGGTAAGCATTTGAGAATGAAAACAATTTAATCCTGTAAACAGGAGGAAAAAACTTAAAATAAACTGACTAAATGGCTGCTGATAGATGGCCGTCGAGAAAAAGGGGGACCAATAGATCATACCTTTGCGGGATATCACAATCATGTGAGGGATTTTCGTGCGCTAATACTTTAATCTTGTGACACGAGAAAAGTTAACAGCCTTCTTACATATGCCGTTGCTAATAGATATCAGGACTATTTTTCATTAAAACTTGCCTCTTTTGATAACGAAACAGAAACATCTTGCAACTTAACTCCACCACGAGATAAGCGGCCCTTGACAGAGTGTAAACGTTATGGTGTCTAATTGCTCATTTAATGGCATTAGCACATCGTTCGTAGAGTAAGTAAGGATGAAAGAACTGGGAAATGATTCTATTCTCCAAAAATGCCGGAGGAAATACTCGATGATTTTTGTTTTCAAACGAAGTTCGGTCGGGATCATCTGCTGAACCCAATTTACAAGGGTGAGAGATTGTCAACTGCTGGCATCTGCGACAGTTTTTGGGAACATTTATCAATGTCATCGTTCCAAAGCTTAATTACATTTGCAGATACTGCTGCTCGTAAGTTAACACGGATGAGAGAGGCCAGTATGACAAAACCACGGGTGTCTCAAAAGTGAGTGTGTACGCTTTCATGAAGACGCTTTGGTCAAGAAAGAAAAACAGCTACACAAACGCTCTCGGAGAATCGGCCACATCGACAAAATAGGTACAATGGATGCCAATCCATTCTCGATTGAGAGCATTCTTAAAAAGAAACCGGTTCCCTCGTCCGTGAATGATACGGAGGAAACTCAGCCGTCCAAATCAAGAGAAGCACTTTCACTGGCCGTGAAACTTGCAGGTAAGCGATTAATGATGTTGCTGACACATGTCGCTATCACGTACTGTCTCAGTAAAATCGTGAAGAGTCAGATGAACCAAATTGAGCCTCCAGTGTTACACACTTCGCCGTGATCTGTGATTAGTTTGTTTTGAGTGCAAACTATACGAAACTTCATTCCTTCTGATATCATTTAATCATCTCAGTTTCGAGAGGTTATTAATTTTAAGACAACACTGGAGGAAGACTTACAATGTTCAAAATTATAGCCTCCGTAGATCTTTGATCTAAGTCAAAACAAATCACCATGTTTTTTAATAACAGAGTACTTCAGTTGAAGAGGACTGGATTAACACTGAATGAAGCTCGGTCAGTTTCTCGATGAACTGGAGTAATATTGGGGCTATAGCCTGCAAAAGACGCAATATGAGCCGCAATGGCCGTAATTGCGCGGCAATTTATCTTTGAAGCAAATCAAAACAAATTGTGTCTCAACATGACCAAACAGTACTTGAAGAGGAATGAATCATTACAACACATCGCTGAATTGTTTTGGAAAGACCATTGCTAATCCACTTGTGAGCAACTTTGACAAGAGCCTTTGTTTAGTCAATGTGATCTTTAACTGTTTACTGTTCGAAGTCTATTCTCCAAAATTAGAAAATCTTTCAAAACCAGTTTGGCATTGTTACCAGCCACCGACAGCCATTTTGCAGACAGTTCTTGAAGCCCAAAACCTAAGTCTAAGATGACGTCTCCGCTCTTAAAAAACATTACATCTGAGCCTCCTCTCGCGTTGTTATTTAGTATCACAGAACCAAGCTTAATTTATCTTTTATCTGAAAGCTCCACTTGATTGCGTGAAGAGTAAATGAGCACAGGTATGTCAAATAAAAGGAAATGTAAACAAGTTAACAAGGAGCGGAAGGCTCTACGAACGGCGTAATGAGAAATCCATCCTCAAACATCTTAAGCAAACGTCAAAAGACAAGTGAGGCGAAAGCTTTACGAGGCTTCGTACTGATTCATTGAGTATCATTGAGTTGAAATATTTTGTAAGTTTGCTCACATACACAACAGCGCGTCACCGCACCCGTTGGTTCCCTTATCGGGAATTTATCACAGCCCGATGTATTTCTCTGACCATATTGGCGCCAGCCAAGCACTAATCATGTTCGCAATGTTCAGGAATTCCAATTAGATTGCTCTCTGATTTATTGGATGTATCTTTAAATGTGTCATATGCGTTCAAGGGGCAACTGAAATGGTTCCGAAGAGAAAAGGGCATCTCTCCCAACGAATTGGTAGAAAATGTCTGGTTGATATTTAAAAAATCCGTGATTGCACGTGAGAAGCGCGGTTCAAGTACAATGTATATCCAAAAAACTTAGAAAATGAAATCATGATCTGATTATTCTGTCTAATCAGCATTTATCGACAGATGCTAATTTTAGTAACACTTTGCTGATCTTGTTGTCTTTTTTCTTATTTCATTGCCGTAGACACTATCTTCTCCTCACATTCCCACCTCAAGACAACAGCACTCTCTATGAAAAGTAAAAGAGGCTTTCACAATCCTTTACATTCACATCTCATCTTCTCTCCCTCCGTAACTCACTTTATGTTGATCAATGGAAAGAATCATTGCCACCTTGTGAACCTGACTTAACTTCTACCAACTGAAACTATGAGCAATAACCTCAGAAGAACAATTTTTTGTACATTTACTATTACCATTAGTCCACAGTATTTCTTTTTCCTCGATCTAAGTTCTTGTTTTCCGTAACCTTTGTTCAAGTACCCTCTCAGCCATGTCGGTCCGATTGTACAGTTTTTACTTCAAGGGTGACCTGACATATTCTCCTTGAAACAGTATAAAGCTAACAAAAAATACTCTACGTCTGTCGCTTATTTATTGTCCGAATTAATTAGCCTTCTCCCCTGAGTTGCTCCACATTTCCTCGTAAATAAGTTGAGAGATTTGGTGTCGCTTACAAATTAAAAAACTGACCATGTGTCACCTTTCTCAGATGTTATCTTAGAGGCTCGACAAGAAAAGACGCGACGTACACCACGGCGCACGCGCACTGCCTTCACCCACCAACAATTAGGAATCCTGGAAAAATCCTTCAGTAAAACACACTACCCGGATGTAGAGCTCAGAGAGCAACTTGCTGAAAAAACTAACTTACAAGAAGGGAGAATTCAGGTAAACAAATAACGTTAATGGATGGATGAATTAAACTGAAATTAATAAAGTCTTCACTTTATTTTAGGTTTGGTTTAAGAATAGACGTGCTAAATACCGCAAGGAAGCAAGAACTTGCCTTCTTCTCGAGGATTACGAAAGTGAAGAGGAACAAATCCCCGCCGTTTGCCCAGTGACGCCGACCCAATCATCGCTGCCTTTTTTTCAGTATAACACAGTTCCTTATTGTTTCAACCACAGTGAACCCTTTGATTCAATAAGAACTTATGGACACTCTTCAGCTATGTACCCCCAGTTGAGTAGACACACCCAGTTGACCTCACATGCTCACTTGACACAGCCGCTTGGAATACACGGCTGGCAGCCTGTGTCGACAAATGTGATGATGAGTAACGCACATTTTGGAGATATGTGGAATGGATGAAAAACAATTATCGAAATCGTTCAAAGTGTATTTTATAGATCACTGCAACAGATTCGAAACAGTATTTGTGTGTGTGGTGCATTTTGATCCACGTTATACGATCGTCTTTCGCCGCGACTCATCCCGAGTAGCTGACATTTATTGTACGCCTCATAAGAAAAAAAATGTTGTCGTTATATAATTCACTAGTAATAAATGCAGTGCCTAACTTACGCGTAACGGACGCTAAAAGTCGGCGTGAGAATGTTGTACTACAAATGAAAAAACAAATGAAATAAGGAAGATTCATTAAATCGACAGAATGTGAGTCGTTGTTTTTTCGATCGAAAAAGACTAATGAATTCAAAATCAGTACATCCTATGACGATAAAAATTTTTTCTTTTCACACCTCTGTGCTTTAGTTTGCAATCAATAAATCGTCTTCTTACGTCTTATGAAAAGCTCATATCGATTTTTCAGTTATTGATGTAAAATACGGGAGAAGAGGGCTGAAAATATCCACGGAAATATCATTGTAAGAACTTTTCAAAAAGCTAGTGGTGTAATAATGTTTTTCTTTTGTCGCCGTCTTAACGGAAACACATAAATACCGATTAAAATTCTGTATATAAACTTTAGAACTATGGATCTTTAAAATCAGTGACATCGACAATCAGGGTAACGGTTATGACTGCTGTAAGAGAATGATTTTTAGAAAAGGTTTGTTTTGAAAAATAAAAATCCAGCAGTCACAGCATCAGCCAGTAATAACTCTCATTTACTGGACTATAGTGTTATGGACGAGCAAAATATGAATAACAGCCGTGAACTGATACAAACGGGTTTTAAGTTAATCTTTTATTTTGCTACAATAACCTTTGATTTTAGTTCGCGGAATTACTGTTTGTCTGAAGAAGTGTTAAGACAATCCTATTACTTCATGATCTTCGAAACTCATCTCGTGAATCTAAAAATCTTCAAGCTGTTTCACTCTTTTGTTTGAAGACTTACGGATTTATATTTCGGATCGCTTCTTATAAACGAAATCCCGTTGTTATTGCTTGTAGTTTCAGGCCGGCACTGGTTTTAGAAAATCCAAAAGAATGTTAGGATAATAAAAACTGAAAGCAAACAAGATAACGCTATTGTGTATTATTAAAGGCTCGTGTCGCTTGTTTCCCTTACCCCCCTATAAAGGCCCCAAAACCTTCATTTTGAAAGGTAGACAAAGCAAAGAACGTTTAATCAGCCCACTGCTATAATCTTATACCAGTTCCATGTTTAACCTCTGTATTTGCAGATCATCATTTTGACTTATGCTCGGAACCTTAGATAAGCTTTAACAAAGTAAAACCAACTCAGCGAGTTTATTTTTAAAAATGACAACAACAAAAAAAAGACATATATACACAAAATGCTTCATTCCCAGAACGTTTTTCAACTGTCTGGGTTTGCAACGAAAGCATTACTCATGAACATTTTGGATTGGACAGTTTACGTAGCACCGTTGAGTAGCTTGAAAATCTACTAAATAACACCAACCTACCTTGACAGCGACATACGGGCCGCGGTCGTAACCGAGGTTAGAGCTGATCCAGAAAACAAAGACACCATTTGGTATCTTTAACCTTAGTTTGTAATCTTCCTAAGTTAATTTTGACTATCTATCTCATCACTCTGTCTTTTTGGAAGTTTGTGTAAAAGTTCTCCATCTCACTGTTCTCCTCTTCTCTCAGAGAACTAGCAAAATCCATGGCAGTGCACAGAATCCCTCATTTTAGGCAACGCCTTTTGTTATATGCACTGCCATGACGTCAAAATGCCAAAAAAATGCTATACTCTCGCAAAACAGGTTACTACCTTTTAAAACAGTGTTTCAGAAAGAATAGTTGATGTGTTTGACAACTACATCAAACTCTCTTTCATTACAATCCCAAGAAGAAATTAAATTTTCATAGCAGCTGAGCACTTCTTCAAGAGAATGATTCTAAATAATTCTCTATGGGAGTACTCATAAAATGCGACGTCATGCTAATTTGAGGTTTATAATACAGTCCCTAAATGTAGCATCAAGGACATGGACGGGCATCAAAGGAAGACTTCATTGGTCATTTATATATCAATTTCATGAAATCTTTATGAAACCGTTTGAGCGACAATCACGCACGAAACATTTCGTTATGACGCGTTATGAAACTGACCATTCATCAATGGAATTCCCCTAGATTTCATGATGAATTGCTTTATTTCGTTTCCGTTTCGGAATGCACCTTGTCCCATCCTAGGTGTTAAGAGCTTAGGGTTAGGAAAATATGACTTTAGTGCCTTCGTGCTCTGTATCATTAATTGAGCAGGCAACCTGTATAAGACGCGGACCTCACTTGATGATTGATCAGACATTTCTTATATCTTAGCACATATAAAATGAGAAACCAGATTGACCTGACAAGGAAATGCCATATTTGTCTGACAATTTCAAGCTAGCCGAAGCCGAGAAACTACCAGGTCAACACTAGATAGTTCACTAAAAAAGCCGCATTTCTTATGCATTTGGTATGACCTGCCGCCCTCAGAGAAATGGTCTTCTTAGCTGCTTTAAAATTTTCCCCACCATTAGTAAAAATGATCGTATATTGTGTTTGATTACGTGATCTTCCATCTTGTAGAATGTGTATGATCTGATTAATGAAAGATTGGTAGACTTCTTTTTCTCATCAAGCTCCCGATGACTTCCGCTTGAAAATTAAGTACTAGCCTTTGCAGCCAGTATTAGTATACATGGCAGAAAAGGAAATTCTCCACAATCCTTTCACCTACTTAAATCGTTGGGAAAAACATATGTTCCCTAAAATTAAATCATAGATAGCATTAAGCTCTGCCCTCTTTTCTTTTAATGCATCAAAACTCAGCGTGTTGCCTATCTCATTTCAACTATTATGAGTACATTTCAACGCCCAGTTTTAAAACAAAGCAAACTCTTAGCACCTGCGCAGAATGAACAAGGTCAAAGTTCGCCTTGGAGAGGATCTGGCTGTCTACCCGTCTAATTTAGGTCTTTTTCTTATAGGTTAATCCTTGCTAATCTTTCGTAATCTATCAAGCTTCAAACTTTGTATTGGTCTTAAAAACATCTCCGGAGCTATATATATAAACATTACATTGTTTCTCGGATTAGGGGGTGACCGAGAAAAGAAAACGAATTTTCTGCTTCCAAACAGCCTCTAACTACACTGCATCCAAAATTACTTTTTTATAGTAGAGGATTTATTTGCCTTAAACACCTCAGCTATCTTCAGTAGCAGGGCCAAACCTTCATTAGTTGAAATGAATTCCATGATGTTTCAAAAATAGACGTATCACCCGATTTAAATGCAATTAACGTAAGCTCTGTTCTGCAATGTTAACTATTTCGTCAGACCACTACCACCACGAGTCAAGCGTCGGTGAATTTCTAAGTTTACTGTTAACCTTCAAAGTGAAAGACCTACATACGATGTACAATTAGAAGGAATTTTATATTCCCGACTATTCAAGGTGTTCCCATCCCAATTCTCGGCTCAGGCGCAAGAAAATAAAAGGCCAAAACATTTCATACATCAACTAAAATTTTTTTCCCACGATATCATGCGTACAGTATTTAGAAGGTCGCCTTCGTCAATTTTACAATCGCAAACAACTCAAAATTAAAAATATCAAGTTAGGAAAACCAGAATAATTATCTAGCTTTAGAAGGGATTAATCTTGCAATTTGAGGGTTACGTTTCGTTTAGATTGGATGATATATTATTCAGAAATTAAAGGACCTCAGACTAATATCTTGGTCTTTTGAACAAATCATTAACAAATGAAACTGCCACAAATTGCCGCTGATCTTAAAGAAAGTAGTGTTATTGTTTTATACGTGAATAGATTGAGCCAATCAAGGGTCAGCGACCTCGAGGGTCATTCTAAAGTTATTACCTTAAACCAACTATCGTAAACATTCGTCTTGGATCACAAGCATTGTTCTTTAGTTACTTTTGAGACTTGACGCAAACAACAGGGACAGTTCGCCCGCTTTTTTTTTCCGATGGGAACCTTCCAAATATGATGGAAATAAACTGTCTCGCGAACATTCTTAGCAACGGATTGCGGCCATACAAACAAATTTAGAGCTGTCATAATCAATCTACAATCGAATTTGCAGCGTTTCGAGACGTCTGAGGATCAACATTCTGTTTAAAATGCTCGAAACTACTCTGTGGAATGCAGTCTCCACACGTATTACAGACGGTACGAGACAATTTTCAATTATCCTAAATTGGCTTTTAAAACGATTTCTTTTTTGCGCAGTATATAGACTTAATTCTTCCGCAGAAAGAACATCTTGCACGGAGGATGTTTGTAAGTTGAATTAATAATCAATTTAGTTTTGACTCATTTACTTATTACTAGACAAACTACGAGTACCGTAATTAGCTTTTTATAGACGCTGTTGGACAATGAAAGGCTCCGTGAAGAAGAAAGTTTAAAAATAGCTAATTGATTTGATTCGATTTCATGGGTACATGGAGAATGTATATATATATACGATGCCTAGCTTAACGTTGACTGATTTAAACCAACAACGAAACTAGTAAGGCAGTCAATTCCCGTGAAATAAAAATTATGTTACAGTTTGCAAGGAATGGAACGTATTGAGCATGCTCTGTTCGACTGGCCCGTTATGTGCAGCTCTAGAGGTCACAGTTTCAGTTTTTTGCGAGGTTGTTTTTGCCATCGTTGGTGCTCTCTACTCAACCTTTTGCCGTTTTATTTTCAATTTCATATTATCCTATTTCAATTGGAATGCAAATAACAGTGTTGAGTAATTTTCAAGAAACTGTTAGATACTTAGGTTAATTCCGACGAAAACTAATCTTCTTAGTCGCCTACACTTTTTTTTCTTACAACACTGGATCGGTGAGCAAACAGCGGTACACGAAATAACAGTAGAATAGTCACATAAAAGGGAGTGATCCACAAACCAGGAGGATTATTAATCCATCCCGAGAAAAGGACATGGAATCATTTAATAATATATCAACAAATGCTTCGTGATGTTTACCGAGCAGAGTGGCACGGCACTCGGTTTTGCTTGAACTGTGTGACAGGAAATATATCAATCATAAGGACTGAATGAAGCTAGAACCATGCCGTACGACATTATCAACAGAAACAAATGAAGTGCCCTTCCGTACAGTTCAAGTGAGAAAAGTCCCATATACAACACTTCCATCCACATTGAACTAAAAATTGAATTAAAATTCAACATTTCAATCGAGTTCTAAGAAGTTCAACAGCAATTACTATATGGGACTCACATATCTCCGATAACTTTTCGGAGCACCAGTGGGAATAATGATAAGACAAAGATCACGGCTTCCACAAATTATGGATACACGGGTAATTAATAAGGGTACAGAATCTATGGCTCAACCTCATTTATTCTAGCATCATTTATATCTTTACCTTTCTTTTACTTTGACAATGTTCACCGAATATAATCACCGTATTGTTCTTTGAAATTCTCTACCCTAAATGTATATCAAGTAAATTTTTTTACTTCGGGTTTGTAAGCAAGAAAAAGCAACACATGGGAATTTGACCGTGAAATTATAAGTCATAATTCGATCAATGACACCTCTCTTTCGTTTCCGTATCCATCCACTTAGAGAAACTAATTTACTTCGTATTTTGTAAAGATCAACAAGTATCGGGGACGTGTATCAGTGGCTGATACAATTCTTTTATTCAAAATAAATGATATGAAAAAAAAGTCTAGCTAATTTTCTCGATTCAGTTCCGTCGCTATCTTAACTAAATTTTGTCCTAAGAGTACCTCCATACATCCGAGTTGTGTACCAATTCTGTGTATGCTTGTGCAAACCATTAAGTTGATGCATTCAGAAACATCTACGTGTAATAGAACTTGCAGCGTATCATGAAAGCAAGCTCACATGATGTTGATCTGGGTTAATCGCGAACCCTGAAGTTCTGTGGCAATTTGCCAAAGAAAAAGAACAATTCTATTTCCAAGGTTTCCACCTACGCTAAGATAAAAAGGTGAGCACAATTGATTGGCCTCCTTTTAGCTTATTTGATGTGAAACTTTTTCTTTATCTTATTTACTATCTCAAGAACAAAAACCAGCTCCTATAAACATTCCAACAAACTAGATCCTTTAATAGGCCGGTCGGGTCATTCTTTGCTCCTCTTCATCATAATGGCCAGGTTAACCTTTGAAAGTATTGTTTTTTTGATTACTCTCGCGACAAAATTCTTGAATGCCGTTTTAAATACTGTTTAGAGAAAAATTTAATGCAGATCCCTATTGAAGACTAAAAGGGTCAAATACTTGGCCACACTCTTCCATTCATTTTGCACTCTCCTCACCCTCCAGTTATGGGCCATTGTGTAATGGAAATCAAAATATATCGTCTCAAATGTTAAAATTTTCATTTTAAGTTCACTGATTTTCTCTTCAAGTTTCTAAGTTTAATGACCTCCAATGAGTACGCCTACAAACATCCTCGTGAAAACGTGGAAAAAAAATTTGAAGCGTGAAATATACATTATGTACACGACCTCGGCAATCGGATTTGTGCGCAAAGCGGACAGCTCCCCCAACACGAACATCTAAGCCAAGCTTTAGCTTTTAGCTCACAAAATAATGAAAATATTCCTGAGTATAACTACGCTTATCCTCAAAACAGGCCCAGTGACCCTACCCAATCCCATTGCTTCGCTTCTGAACGAATATAACGAAAGTTATTGAAAAAATATCAAAACTTTAAGCAGGGAATTGAAAAAATATGTGATCATGGATCACCATTAATGTTCTCTTTCCTCTGATAAGAATTCAGCGATCGTGGTCCATGTTCCGTGATAGATTATGATAAAGCCGTATTAAACCCACAAATCAACTTTACTCTTCAGTAGCCCCGTGATAAGGTCATGCCTGGCTCATGCCGTGTTTTCCTTTCTATAACGCAGGCATGTGCATTTATTTATCTCAAAACTGCTTTCGTGAGGTAGCTTGGGTCTTCTATACGCTATGCATTCTTGCCGAATTACGCTACAGCAAGGGCCAGTAAAGAAATTGTAAAAACTCTTTTGGTAAGTTTGTTATCAGAGAGCAGATTCTAGAGACTAAATCGGATCGGATCAAAGGTTCGAGTTACTACGAGATGCAAACGTTAGGCTTTTAATTACTTTTACGTCCGAAAAAACTGCAAGTGGACTTCGTCAATTGTTACAAATTGAACGAGGTTACGAATAGCGTCAATGGTTGAATTTTGTTAAGCTCAAAAGTCACGACCGACGGTACTCCATGAATTATACACCTTAATTGTGCATGTCAAACATTGGTGCAAGAAACGACCAAATGTCAAGAATACCATGAACAATACCACCAAAATAGAGGTTGTCTTAAACATCTTAATTTCTTCAGTATAGTAAAACTAGATGAACGATTTCGTGAAGTCATTAGGGTCTCTTTAGATCCAGTAAGATTGTTTTCACAGAAAACACGATTTTGATCTCTTACATTAAGGATCAAAACCTTTCTACATTTACCATTACGTTTAACAGGATTTTTTTTACGACGCCCATAGTATGAAAAATAATTTTACTTAGAGACAGCGAGTATCATGGTTGATTTACGCCGTGTTACCTGCTCCTAGAGAGCGCATATTTCTTTTCAATTACTAGTACAATTTGTCATTTTCCGGTAATGGCATATTGGAATTTATAAACATAGCATACACTTCCTGCAATTTGTTGACTAAACATTCAATCCTTGGGTATCTTACCTAGGCTTAAAAAAAAGGAAAAAAACTAATTTTTTAGAATTATAACCTAAAGTTTAAAGAATCATTATTGAGTTAAGATGGCCTTTTACATGAGTTCTGATTCATGAAAGCTATCTCTGAGTTTCTCGACAAAATATAACTGCCAGTTTACGTGATCTCGTGACTATTTGATTGTTTTAATAATCAGCTTAGTTTGACAATCAAAGTTTTCGACTCAAATCTGGTTAAGAAACTCACAAGCCGTAATAAAAACTGTTTAATCTCGGAAAAGGAAAACTTATAACCATGTTTGTACGCAAAACAACTGTATATACATTGGTCAAAATTAATCATCTTTCCTTTTTAATTTCTATGACCATAATTGTCGCCAATAATCACCTTCCGATGCAAATTTTTCATCTTGGAAGACTCCTGTAAAAACCGAACTGTTGCTGGAAAGAGTCACCGACTTTCTCTCATCGAGGAATTTTCATCTAAAAAGTTTATCTGAAGAACAATTATGACCTTAAAAAAACTGTAAACAGGTAACCGACGGATGGAAGATAAACTTTTTTATACTTTTATGAGATTTAGAAATATAGAAAGTAAAGAGTTTAACGGAAGTAAAACAATGAAAACTCGTAAGTTTTCTGTTTCTTTGGGTAGTTACGTGTTTCTAAAAGTATTCGATTAAAGTTTTTCAAGAAACATTTTAATACTCTAGTTACCAAAAATATGTTAAATGCCGTAAGCTTAAAATATTCTCACGTATAACAGAAACGTTTAAAAACCAACCAAAGACCTGGATAGGTCGTGTGTGGGCATGCGTCAGCATATCGCGCAACTTTAAATCACATTTGAACTTGTTATGTCACGATAAAGTGATTTGTTATTCCTTTGTGATGAAGATCCTATCTTTGTCATTTGCCTTTTGGTCCTGTAAAGATAAATTGCTAAACAAAATTCACTTTGTTCCCCTTTTTAACCAAAGTTATACCTTTCGTGCGATGTTGCTGCGCGGCGAAGCAGGGTTAAGCATTCCCTTGGTGGATTTGCAAATTTGGCGCAGTCCCGCTATCACGCAATGACTGGATTCATCGCGTGTTCAGTAGATTGTTGTGAGCCCTCCTTACTCGATGAGAAGCCCGTAATAATCAATCATATAAGAAGTCTCATTAGCAAATAATCTCTTTAAATCCCAGTGTAAACTATGATTTGACGACACCACTACGCTGTAGGAAGAAACATCCTCATTGATCGGTAAAAATTCTGGACACTGGCGGATTCTTGGTAAAAGGCTAGAGATATTTCGAAGAATCAGAGGATTCGTACATAGGAAAAGGCTATGAAAACGTTGTTTTCAAACCGGTAATCTGGCCTTTATCCGAAAAAATGCAATACGTTAATCTTTTTATTAAAATTTAAGCTGCAGTATTACACCAGTATTTGTTTAGCGCACAAACTTCAAATCTTTAACCCACGGGTTCCCTCATGTGATTGTTCTTTCGCTTTAAATCAACATCAACATGCATCTTCAATAACCAACTGGCGTTTAGTCGCTTTTGTAAGAAATACGTAGTGTTTTCAGGAGACAGACTCGCATGCCACATTAACTTTGTCAATCTCCAGTTATAGTCAGCTAATCGAAAATCGCTTTAAATCATTTCCATCCGACTGCCCGTATAAATATATAACGCTAATACTAATACTCTATAAGCATTATCCTTTCAAAAACACGTTTCGTAACTACAAGGAATCACTGGTCTCGTAAAAATAATTTTGAAGTCATTTCGTGTATCTTCTACGGTACGGAACTAGCAGTGCTTTAAACACCGCCTTGGTATTTTCCATGTATACATCTGGCATTGGAATTTTTTCCTGAGCGAAACAAAAAATGTCTCAAAGGTATAAAGCAGGACTAGACAGGATTAGTAAATGCCTTAAAGAGTGACAGAATTAGGCTTTCACAATGAGCTCACAGAGTAGTTACTTCTTCAATACTAAACAAACAACCCATCACGCATATAATGCAAGACGGATGAGGAATGACGGATGCGCTTAACTACGCGGTACAAAGCCAAAACGGGGACAGTCTACATATTCAGAGTCAACAGTCAGTTAGTACATAGAAAGCGAGAGGATAGTTCTCGGTTCAGCTAAGGAGGCAAGGTATCCCAATTTTTTCTAAATATTTTACGGTCTGTATTGGTCATGTTTTAATTAAGCGAAGGTTTATTTCGAAGATTTTACCACATTGGGGAGGAAACTGTCCCACAACTAAAACTAAGTTTGAATTAACAGAGCACAACTAAGCTCAGTGGCTTTATAGAAAGTACGTCTTTAAAAAGTTTTTGTACTTTCAAAGGATGCATTTAAGACAGAGAATTCAACTGGGTTAAAGCTGAACGTTTTATCTATTGATGATGAATGATCAATAATTACCAATTTCCGTTCAAAGTATATATTTCCTAATTTAACGCGTTTCATAAGCGTCATGAATTTGCCTGAGCACAAATTCATGATTATCTATAGTTTTACCACAATTTAAAAGTACCTCTCTCTTGGCTCCGATAAAGAAGAATCAATGCTGGATCAACAAGTAGCACGTCTGGCATAAAATAAAAATATTAGTTTCCTCAACAGTGATGTTTCCGTATGTAAAAAAACGAGAAAAAAAGCATAACTCGTTCCATATAGCAGTCTAAAAAGAGAAAAGCGACTGCGATCCGATGTTTGTAGTATGACTACGCATGAAATAACAGAGAATCCTCTAACATATGTTCTCAATATTCCTGACAGCTTCTAAACGCGCTCACTCCTCCTTGTTGTAAAAAAATAACGCTTATGGACATTTAACACCAGGTTAAAATTCAACAATGCGGAAGGGTTAGCTGGTGGTGAGTTAGGCGACAGAAAACGGATTTTGTTCTCTATATTACCAGGGCAAACCATTATTACTTTCGCAATTCTGGTAACGATGACAAGAAATGCCATAAAAGAATAACGATAATACTGGCCCTCTTTGACATGGCTGGTACCACTGGCGTGGGGCTGGAATAGCGTGACAGAAATATAGGATTACCAAAACGTGCACGTCCAAAAATACTGTAAAGCGATTTCAGCGAGGTTAAGAAGGGATCAACCGTGTTATGTTTGGCTGCGAACGGAAAAAAGATTTGTATTTTGTGGCCGGTGACGTATCTTACATACTTGGCGAAGTGGCGCGATTATGCGCGAACAGAGACGAGTCACCTGTAATCCGCCCTCTCGAGGCAAGAAGCTAGCAACTGAAATGGCTGAAAATCACGTTAACCAACTTTTACCAGGATAGTTTAGTTTTGTGTTATGTCATTCCGATAATCACGAGGAAGCAACGTGTTTGACTTAACCGAGGGTGTAGAAACAGTTTAGAGCAATTTTTTCGAAGCAATTTTAAGAAATCTCTAACTTAAATTTCAATGAGGGGAAACGATAAAAGAAAAAAAAAAGTGTATACTACTGATTTCTACATAATGGCAAATGCGAAACCATTGCGACGATTGTTTAACTATTCAAGAAAGTTACCACAAGAGCTATATGTAGCTTTGTTGCATAAATCGCTCACAAATCGTGAATAACATACTCAAATAGACTTTATTATAAACAGTTCAGCAATGGAAAATATACGTTTTGCAAAATAGTGGAATGTTATTTAAATATTCTTCTTATATCTATAGTCACCAATTAAACCTTTTTGAAAGTAGGCGGTTGAAAATGAAAAGGCAATGGGCTTATTTCTATTTTTTTCCGAAGTTGCGTCAATGCTGGTTAAAAAGATCTTCAGACTAGTCAGAAAAATTACTGAAACTAGACAGCGGGCGTTGACGAGTCTAAACTAAATTGAATTAAAGAAAAACAGTTCACTAAAAGGATATTACATTTACAGTCACTTTTCTTTGCGGAAAGGGATTAACAAAATGAAAGATAGAAAGTAAGACTATGCCCAGTAAAATATCACACACGTGAGCGATATACCTCCATATATAAGATAATCACCCAATTCATTGTATTAATCATTTAGTAATACAATAAAACTGAAGTAACCGAGGCAATTTCCGTATTTTTATGATAGAAGACCAACGGTGCTGCTTTATGTTTTTTCTAATTTTAGAAAGCTGCCAAAATATGTTTAAACGTGTTAAATTTACTCATAACCATACATCATATCCGTTTGAGTGGGATTTTTTCTTCTCCTATCAGTATAATATAGATCGTAAGGTTGTGTCATGCAGTTTGTTACCAAAAGTTATGAAAGAAGGGCGTGCATATTGTCGCAATTTTAAAGGCACTTAGCTCACTGGTTTCCAGAAAATATCATGATCTAGGATGATCATAGTTTTCTACTTTAATTAACTACCCTTTGCTTCGTTGTAGGCGTACAAAAGCCTCTTCAAGGAGGTCTACAACACTGCAATTTTAAGCCTATCAATCATTGTCAGTTGCACGAATTTCTTGAGCAAACGATCGGCATTACAAACAGATTGATATGTGTACATAGTGATCTAACTGGTTTAGGTAATGTAGTACGGATGCTCTTTCCTTTAAGCGCGATTTGCTTTACCCCACTGCTAGGAAATGAACAACGCTCAAATAGCAAATGAAATGAAGGGTTTCAGCATGACTGTTTTGATACTAAAGCTCGAACGGATTACCTTTTAATATCGGTACACTTTTCATAGTGTATATATAATTTTACAGATTGACGCCCTTACAGGAAGTGTTTTGTGACTGAGTTACGGTATATACAGTCTCACAAAGCAAAGTATTAGACGTCTTTGAATGGCGGCCTAATCACAGCCTAGAAATTTTGGAAAAAAGTAAGGAGGAAGGGTTTGGTTAGAGCAAAGAGAATCCTTTCAGTGTAATTTTTGCTATATGCCATGTTATCAATAGTTACACAGTTAGGAAATCGTTATAGGATTTTGAGCTGTCTCCACGCCTATTTATCACTTTGTTTTCAAACGAAGATGAAAAGAGGTAAATTGTCTTTCTTTACTTTCAACCATAGCTACGCGATCTGGTTCAATTGCATTAACTTCTTTAGTATACTAATAGCGTAAAAAAGCTTACATTAGTCCAACAACTTTTTTCACTTTATCTTGCAATAAGTCCAAAATTTGCTATAGGATTTCGCGGTTGTCTCGTCGCCTTTACGCTTATCAACTTAGACAAGAATAAAGAAGCAGAGAGAAGTAACGAAAGTATGAAATCTTCTTATAAATTGCTAAGATCACTCGGTAATCTTCTAGATTTAGGCGATTCGATTAGAAAAAGGCGGGGTTCATATATCTCATGTCTATAAAGGCTATTATGTAAAACCAGGGCTTTCACTATGTGAGAGAGAGCTGCTAAGTAAGCCCATCTTCTTCGCTAAGTCAGCACGTTACTTACTGTGTGAAATGAGAATTGCTAGCACGTTAAAATCCTCTTTCTATCCGCAGAGAGCTGAAGTAGAGACAAGAAGCAACATCCTCTCTCACCTTTGTCACCAAGGCTAGCTTTCAGTGGGACTTTCCTAAACCATCTTTAATAAAACCTCAAACTTACTTTAAAGATCATGGAGTCAGATTTGAGTTCTTCTTCATTTTCTATTGATAACATACTGAAACCCGACAAATGCGATTCTACACAAGAACCTCGCTCTGCAGACCGAGCATTAACGTTAGCAGAACGTCTGGCAGGTGAGCCGCGAAAAGTTTTGTCTCTGACCCCTCCTCGCAGCGTTATGAAAGAGAAAATTTCTTTCAATTAAATTTCCCTCAGAATATTCGTAATCGTTTTTGTAACTTAATTTCAAAGTAACTTAGATATATTGACAAGAACTTGAGACCCTTTAGTAAAGGGAAGGCTCTAAGAGGAAAATTCTTTGCATTCGCTGTTTCTTTATATGTTCTTAAAATATTTTATGCTTAAGCAAAGGCAAAGAGAACCTTGGCCAAGAGCTGTTTACGAGGAATCGGAAGCCATGTGTTTCCGCGCTGACACAAAATAAGTCTCCAACTCATTCCTACGGCCAATTCAGCTACATTGGAGTCTGAAATCCCTACTGCACAGAGTCCTCCTCAACCCACCTTTTAGGGAGTAACTCATGAACAAGTAGAGAAATGTAGAAGCTCATGAAATGCTTTAAGTAACATAAAAAGGCCAGTTTCAGTTTTATTTCCCAATTAGTAACAGGTGAAGCCAGGAGTGTACGTTTGCAATTTGATTGTTTTTTTGATGGTCTTCTCTCGATATTACACATGCCAGTTCAGCACAAGTTCATTTTTCTTCCAGATATAATACTTGAGGTACATTATGGTTCATCCAGAGGGAAACATCGGCGAACACGCACCGCCTTCACCCACCAACAACTACAGATACTGGAAAACACTTTCTCAAAGACGCATTATCCGGATGTAGTGATGCGGGAGCAGTTAGCGGCCTACATTAACATTCCAGAATCACGAATTCAGGTGAGGCCTGAGTCGCAAGGGACACTTTAGGAATCTTCCACAGGGATTTACCGCCTGATTCTCCAAATCCCCACCCGTTTCCAAGCTAAAGCACGCCATCTTACATACTTGTTTTCTGACCTGGCCTATTAAATCCCTTCCTGTTTTCAGACCTGAAATTTGATGGCTGCACGCGATTTATTAACTCGTTGCTTTATTATAAAGCAAGATCAATAAACCCAAATCACGACACTGATTTGATCTGGGAATCTTTGAAAATAGGAAAAAAAAAACCCTAAGTAAAACTTTTCACCTCGGTGGATTTAGGAGTCAAGAATAAAACGAGCAGAAAGACAGGAGTAGAACCTTTAATGTTTCGTCAGAGCCAAAATATACCAAAGAGGCAGCAATAAACCAAAAGGGAAAAAGTCTGTTAAAGGATGGAGATTATTAACTCGGATTAAAATTGACGGACTTAAACAATTTGGACTGAAGTGTTAAGAGGTACTCACCGTGACGTGGCTCTTCAGTAGTTGCTGTCACACCTTTTGGTAACCCGTTTGCCTCTTTGGCTTCAAATTGAAAAGCGATAAATCAATTTCCTCGAATCTAGCTGATTTTCAGAATGAACTTATCGACACGTCTTTTTGGTCCCACTTTTCACTGACACCGAAACCATTCAATTTTGACAATACATCGCTGGTTATGAAAACCTTTCTCCAAACTTGAAAATTGACGCATATTGGTGGCATAAGTGATCCCTCACACGGCATGCTATACGAAACGATATAAGGCCTACTAACGAGACATTCTCCCTATATCCCCCACAAATAGCATTCCTTTGCACAAGATCATTGCTTATGCGCATGAAATGCGTTGAAAAGCTGACATTTGCGTTGTAGGTATGGTTCAAAAACCGACGAGCCAAGTACAGGAAACAGATGAAAGACGGAGAGGAGCTAACAACGAGTGAAATGGAAAATAAAGCCCTGGAGAATCATTTCAACAGCCATGATGCGCCATGGAACCCACAACATTTTTACACAACCAACAGTCTGCCCTTCGGTCCGGGAAGTGCTGTTTCACCCCACAGCAACTTCGCACCATACTCCTGGTCTGCCGTTCCTTTGTACGCTTCCAGCCCATGTGGTTGCTTACCATCGTATTCAGATAATCAAAGGAGATCCTCCTGGTCGTGCACGGCATGTTACGAAAATACAGATGTAAAAGGCCACTTACAATGAGCGTGATTTGTTTGAAATAAGTCATAAACGTTAAAATAATGTAAGAGAGATTCAAACTCAATAGTTAAACGATGTTCCTAATATCATCACTAGATTTCGTCATTCCCATCGTTTTTATATTTTCCTTTTTTTGGCTGAACAAAACTTGGAAATTACAGAAAATAGCTACGCTTAAAAGTCGTTTCATTCGTGTATTTTGTAACTGTAATTGTTTGTCAACAGCCAATTGTACATATGTCGAACTGTGACGTAAAATGAAAGGTCTTCCTGCCAAGGAAAATAAGGATATTTCGGGTGACGTGAACATGTCAAATATATAAACAGGTTATGTATAATGAAGTATTCCATTTATTTCTCTTAAGTCAGGGATCAAGGTTACATTTGGATAAAATGCTATTACGTAGAAAATATCATAAAATTGAGTAACTAAGGAAAAAATGTGTATAAGTTATATATGTTTACCATAATAACGTAGGTTTCCTATTTTAAGTTAACAATTGTGACAGCTGATATACGGAAAACTCATCCTAGAATAAAAATATATCATAAAAATGTGATAATTCTTCCAGCTTTGTTTTAATTCAGCTTAAAATAGATGAAAGTCTGGTTCGGGGATTAAACTAAAAGATAGTTCGGGTTCTTATAGAAAGTAAAGGAGCCGACAAAGAACTATGACACTGCAGACATGATATTTTCCTCACTTTCCGGATTTTAGGTAATTACAGGGTCAACCACATCAACGCGGTTTGTTGTTATAGATTGCTAATACAGAGGCGGTGTAGAAATTCCATTCGAAAACTCAGTTTGTCCTATTTCTCTGGAGTTAAAACATGTCAACAGTTGTTGGATGGTGTTTTAAGTAAAAAAGTGATATTTCGATTGAAGTTTAGACCTTATTTTCGCTATTCTGGCCCCAAATGTTAGCGAAGAAAACTATGAATAAAATCTTTGAGTAATCGTGACAGTAAATACCATAATAAAAATCCAGTTACAGCTACGTCATGGCTAATGCATCTTAAGAAATTATCGTCAGTTATGTTTATCTTCGCCATTCTTAACCATATTTTTCATGTTCAGTTGATTCCTACACCGTTTTGGTGTTTGAATAGTCATTCAAACTGTTACTTAAGGTTTTCGTCTTTTTCAAAACAATTAATTTTTTTAACGTGAAGGTGATAATGCCTATCCAAGGACCAAATTTAAATGAAACACAAACCGAGAAAAAATAAATCTTCAAAAGTGTTATCGTCTTTTTGCTGAATTGTTGGGTAGATCATCTATTATTCCCATTTTGTTCTTATTGCTTACATCATGACGAGCTCAAAACCATTCTTTCCCATTAATCTTATTAACCTTAATTCTCAAATACACGAAATCTCTCGATCAACTCCATTCTGTTAATTTCTTCACTTCCGCCTTACTCTTGTGTGTCAAATCAAGACATTCGGATGAAAAAATACTCACGTCATCCAAACAAATTTGGCTTCAATTGTGCCAGAATTTACTGTCTGGTGATGTGTATTTGACGTCACTAACACCATGGACAAAGTACTTTTCAAGCTAAATGTTCACATTTTTGACGCATTCCCGCATTCTTGAACTTCTTTCCATTGAAGACAGCATTTTTCATTTTTTGGGTCATGTTTGTTTATTTTTTACATTAGTGAATGGCAGACTTCACGTTGCACGCTAATTTTGTTTTTAAATTACTAGTTACCCTGGAGTGGTTAACCCATGCATGATTCATTTATGAGCGGGAGATCGAAAACAACATTATCTAGCTAAGGTTTCTCCTTCTTTGTTCATGAGAGAACGCGAATAATACTTTCCTTCACGTTTGTCAGCGTTAGACACTTTTAATTGCGGACTAAATCCTACCTTTTTGATCTGTTTTGTTAGTCAAAATTAAAATTCACGTTTCATTTTGGTTACCTTAAAAATTCCACACTGTGAAATCGAGCAATATTTGTGCGCACATGGTGCAAACCTTTCGCTTTGACTTTTAAATATTAGCAATGTACATGCTATTTGTCAAACGCGCCTCGCTTATAAGCTTAAGTACCAGAAGACTCCTATTTTTCAGTAAAAGTTATCGCGTCCTTCATTACACTAAAAGTTGTCTGTCTGTTCTTCGCCAATGTGGAACAAATCGACTCAACTGACAATCGCAATATACATTTTTTACATTGTAAATTAAATTGGTGGTGAGTTTCATTCATCGGTGGTGAGTTTCATTCCCAGAAACAAACCTAAAGCTGATGAGTCTCAATTTTTCTATTGAACAAGTATGGGTTCGAAGCTCGTACCAGTTTATTTCATTTTTTACACCTACATTGTGGTTTCTTTCAAGGGGTTAAAGGCGCAGATGTAAAACATTTATCAGTTTCTACATCTGGTATTTATCTTGGTATACAAGGTGCTTCCAGCTTATGCAGATAAAACTTGGAGTGAAATCAGGTATTCCCGCGAAGAGGTGATTATGTATTAAACAGCAGTGTGGTTTTGCTCACCTAAATTATTTAAATCAAAGTCGCAGTCTTTATATATTTTCATGAAACAAAAAATTTGATTTTCCTCAGAGAAGTGTCCCAAAGATTCTTTTTAGCAAAGGGAGCTAGGTATAACAGTCGAGACTAGCATGGATTCCGGACGATTTTTGTAAATTAGTTTGCAGTGAAAGCAACCCAAGGACTTTTTATGGTTGTTGGACCTGGGAGAAATTGCTGCAACTCGAGGTATGCATATTTGATAAGCCGATCTCATGACCTGTGGATCCCTGACCATTTTGGCTCAGCGCAGGAAGGCACATCGGGCTTCCTCCTTATCTTAAAACTCTTTCGGAAGATCAAAGGAGATCTTGGAAATTTTAAGTACTGTGTGGTCCTCGCTACTTTACGATAGTTAACACCCATAATGAAATTGATGGTTTCATATCCGAGTGTTGTAATCAAAAGAGTCAAATAAATGTTCGTAATTATAATCATCCATGTTGTCGTCCTCGTTAATTAGAGCAAGGAGCTTGGAAGTATTTTACCCTTCTCTCAAGAATAATTTGGCGTCAGCACCGGCATTCACGCATAGGTTCTTAAGCCCGATCTCTGTATCAAGAGAACAAAGATAAATGCTAAAGTAAGTTAATAAGGGGTACCCTCTAAGAAACCACAATTAAGTTGTACTGCGATAGAAAGAATTCCTTCCTTTGAAGTACGCTCACACAAATTTTCCATTAAAGTTTTCCTGAACTACCTTGATTGCTGCTCAAGTAAAGAGCGATAGATTCCTTCTCAAATTAAATTATCATCTATCAAAATCCTTGCGATGACAGGATAATGGTTTTCTATAATACTAGAGAATTCGAACATTTTTGATGTGCTGATAACCTTGGGATTTCGTAGTTTTTCTTTGTTTTTCTTTCATAAGAAAACGTCTATCTCTTACAGATTGTTGAGGATGGTACACACGTAGAAAAACACGTAGAGCTATCAAATATCCCTCCGTTCTCATTCTGTTGTTGCAGTCATTGCTTTGGGCGTTTTCACTGTGTGTGGCCTCAGTACACGTCATATGGGCCAACAGAAATTCTGCTTATTTGTAAACGTTGGTTTTTAGTGGACTCTAACAAAATAATAGAGTAAACGGCATTCAGTTATCAAAATTTGTCAAATTTCAGAAACTTAATAAATTTTTTCAACTTACACGCTGTATTGCATAAAAGCATAAATGTAATCTTCAGTCATCAGCATGATGCAAAGATTAAATACAAGGGTATGCGAAATAAAGACGGTTTGGTTAATACACAGAAAGTAAAGTTTCGTTACAGGTCTGGCTATTTGTCTCATTTATGATAATAGCGAGGGTATGATGATGATGTTAACGGTCGGCTTTGGAAAAGCCAATAATAACCTTCTGAGTAAGAGATCAAATTGCCTTCAGGAAAGTTTCACATGCTCCGCATAAACTGTTATCTCAAAAAACCAGATGCCAGATTCTGATAGACCAAATCATAAAGGAGCTAATAAATCGATGACTTAAATTAAAATAAACTGTGCATGCTGCAAGTTGGACGAAAATTAAAAGGAAGATAAAAAAAATTAAAAAAATCATCAAAGGTCAATAAGAGAAGAATTAAGGTGCAGCCCGATCAGCTTTAATTTTTCTTAGCCTTAATTGTACCAGCCACACTGAACCATTCTACTTTTGATCAACCCAAATATCATCGTAATTCATACACCAAGATTTAGAGAGAATATCAAATCACTCACTGCACAATCATTTTTATAAGGGCGGAATAATCTTCAATCTGCTGCATTTTCGAATAAATGAAAGCGTAATTTTGATATATCTAATGCATTTGATTACACTTTTGTGACAGAAAAGTTCACTCGATATGAAATATCTAATGAACCTCTCAGCAAATCAGCAAAGCAATGGTTGCTTATCTGTCTCGACTGCCGGTAGTCTTTAACCGACGTTTGATTAAAATCTATCGGCCTTAGTGACAGTAATTAAATCAACTTGTCGTCGCCAGTAAAAATCCCATTCATCTTAATGCTTGGGACTTGATACTGAAATCCCACATTGGAAATCACGACAAACAGTCACTTAAGTGCTTCGTGAGGGTAATCGAGACGAAACGTTTCCTGTGTTACAAATCTGAAGCAAATCATTAATTGTACGTGCTAGTATTTGTCGAAACAAAGTTGCTGCGAAATACCAGCCAAAATTCCCTTCGTGTGTTACAATCAAAGTCCAATTTATCATCTTTGACAGAGTAAAGAGGCAATAGAAATTGAAATTTACGTTAGGCTTCTCAACAACATTATCAACACCGTTCTAAAGAGACGTTAAGGTCTTTGTAAATAACTTGATTTAAACTATTCTAGAGAGCAATGAAATTATTGTCAAGGTAAATCCCCCAAACAGCACTACAAAACTGAGAGTTTAGCCACAGATGTTACAAAATCAGTGAACACGTAGCGGTATCTCCTTAACACTAAAACGAAGTGAAAAGTTCCTTAATGAAATAAATTAAAAGTTTTAAGCCCGCTTTGGAGTTGTTAAGCAAAGACAAACTATCACAGCCGAGCACTGGAGGAAACGACAACAACCCATGAGGTTTTATAAACAGCTAATAACAGCACTCAAATTCCACCAAATCGGGTAAACTTTGTTTACATCTGATAAGAATGCATGCGATGTAGCCGAATCGAAAACGATTAGTATGCGAAAAACGAAATTCAGCTGTTACGCGAGAGGTGTAATATAAAGATATTTTTTCTGAAACAACGGAAAAAGTACTAATTGAAAATCTTTTTCTGGAGTTATTAAATCAAGTTGTTCATGGTTAGGATAAATGCGGTTACCAGATGTTTCTGTCAGTGATTGGCATTTTCAGGACCAAATCTCACTGACGTCTCATTCTCCTGTATAGCCTTCGAAAACAGCGCTTTACTCCAGTCAACCCCTCTTTGGTCTAGCCAACATGAATCATAAAACACTCCCTGAACAAGCTGTGGAATCTGGGCGAGAAATGTTGAACAACGGGAAATCATCTTCATTTATGATGGAAAATATATTAAAGCCCGACAAATTTGCTACAAGACTACAAGAATTTCGTGGTGAGGCTCCATCCAAGATCAAAGCCCTTTCAGTGGCAGCCCAGCTCGCAGGTTTGTTTTGTTTCTCACTGTCTTAATAAGTGTTTACTTGTCAGTATTCGAACAATTTCGATCTATTCCAGTGTATTTATCAACATCTAAAAATGAATGGCGAATAAGCTCTCGGATTAGGAGAGTGTTATGATGAGGAAGATTCTTCCCTTTCTTTGAAGGATTGTCATACAAGCTTTCAGTCCTATCCTATCTAACGGTTCCTCAACACCCAATTGTAAACTTTGGAAAGAAACTTGAAAGTGATCGGTTGAAAAACTTCGGATCAAAACAATATTCCGTGTTGCACCGACATGTTTCCACATCATTATCTCCATAAATTGCCGGGTAACATTCCTTTCGAAGAGGCAATACTATGTATCTTTGTTTCCAACAAAATAAAAATTTCATAGAAAGCACTGAGTACTTGATGAGCCTAAATAAAAAAGAAAGGGAAATTCTGGCTGCAATAGTGAATTATGCATACTTAATATTAGTGTGTTTTGAAAGTACTTGAGGAAAATAGTATTTAGCTGGTGTGAGGCGCCGTTTTGTCTCAGCCAAAAGAATCGTCAGATGCCTTTAGGAATTTTCGAGCAAACTCGTCTAGCATCACTCAAAAAGTTCCGTTCGCAAAGTTCAAGAAGTTAGCAGTCTGGCCCTATATCGTAGAAGGATTTCCAACCGATCACTAATCGCGATCCTGAGTTACATAAAACAATAACAAATAAGCAACTGAGTTTCGGCTTTCCCATTGTTTGGGATTTATAGCAGCACGAAGGTTGAAAATTTACAACCAAATCACGTTAACTTAGTTGATCATCTTTCGCTGCGTAAGAGCGCTTAATTCTAGGAAATTTTAAAATTTTCCAAACTCACATCAAATATAATTAGCTGTCAGTTGGTTACCACCTCAAAAAGTTAAGGTTTGCCTCCCAGTTAGTTACAATTAGCTTTTAATCCACCAATTGACATGACAAACGGAACTGTTTTTGATCTGCTACATAGGAGTCGTAAGAAACAGTGAAGATCTAGATCATACGGAAATCGTAAGAAAGGCATTTACATCTCAAATTGAGAATGATTACTTCGAGTATACCAAAAAGAGTAGCTTGCCCGTCAGGTTGAAGAACGCAATGTTGTGTAAATCATTTTTGCTCTTGAAAGTAGTCCTAGTACGATTCCTTTTATTTTTGTGGGGATGTGGAGACTTCTCAGCTAGACCTTGAGTTGACGCGGAGGCTGTTGCTTTTTTTAAGGTGGGAGTCTTAAAATGTTGGAGTAAATTCACTAACCACAATTTTGAATAACAATGTCATAAATGAAAACTTACTAACTCCTGCACTGACCCGTGGAAAGGACAACCACAAAACATTTTTAGGATTTATAGCCAAGATTGGTTATCATGGACAAACGATCTGCAGCGAATTAGTCCAACGAATTCTATCTCCAACAGACATCTGAATAACACCATAAATGCACTAGGGTGCCCTATAAGAAATTCGTAGTAACTCATTGAAATATGGTGAGGAAAAACAAATAGATGACTCGATTTTAATGCGACAGAACAACTTCACTTTTGCATTCTTGATAATTTTTATCTTCAAGAGTCAGACTCCTTTTGCGCTGATGCAGGCATGTTGTTGAATATATTGAACTGTTTCCCTTTTTCAGCTAAATCGTTCCGGCCGTAATGAACGCTCGCTCTCATTCGATGAAACTAAAATTGGTCAGGCCATAACAAAAGGCCCATTGTATTAAAAAATCCCAACCATAACAATAGGCAAAGTTTGATATGCGTATGGCTAGAATACTGATTCCATCGTTAATTTCACCTCATTTAATAGATTATATAGAGAATTTGTTACAAAGATCGAGTCTGGATGCATTTCTTTGCTATAGTAAATACGCTAATCCAATTTACAAACATTGTATTGAAGGGATTCTAATAACTGTAGAAAAGCTTGCAACAGCTAGTTGAGATCTCCTACCAATACAGTATTTAGAGGATTATGATGTCACGATTCTCTCTTTTAGCTGAAATTTAGATGTGACTTCACGGTCAGTTACTCAGAATAAGAACAAGGAATCCAAATTCTCACTTTTGAATATAAACAAATTTGTTTCTGCTCTACTAGACTTAAGTTGAAACCGATTGAGTAGGATAGAACCTAATCTTTAAGAGAATGAGACAAATAATTTATGTTGCCAAAAGCGGGCTATAGATAAGAAACACAAAGGTGAGGTTTTTAGTGGGATTACAGTCGACTGACCACAGGAAACTATAAAAACGATGATTACCAATCTATTCATTGTTTCTCATCGACAAGCAAAAGAGTTTAAGTTCATCTTTAATTTGACGTTATAACATTTCCTTAAAAAATGAGCTCGAAGCAATACTCGTTGACCCAGAAATTCCTCTCAGACAATTAATATACATTTTTTCTTGTAAGCATCCATAAATTTTACTCAGGGAAATATATATTCATTAGACATGGAGACAAACTAAAGCGCATTCCACCAAGATATCTGAACTAATACGAAGGAAAATAAACATTTTCTGCTCACATTACGGTGTGTTAATCCAAACCTTTTATTTTTGTTTTAGATATCATTCTAGAGGCCCGGCGGGGTTCTTCTGCGACACAGCTACGTCGCTCACGCACCAACTTCACACGTTACCAGCTACGAATTCTAGAAAATACGTTTTCCAAAACCCATTATCCAGATATTGCTCTAAGGAAAGAGCTCGCAACAAGTACAAGTCTTCCAGAATCACGAATACAGGTATATCGGCCTCATTTCGATTTTGCTCGGGTCAAATGACCCTGCCAAATTGTTTCTCTAAGAAAATATGCCATAGAGGCTTTGCACTACTCTAATCTACTTATGAATCCTTGCCATATCAGGCATGTGCCACATTGCCAGTTAGTTAAGCTGAGAGAAGTGCGACTTTTGCAGTGTGCTGTTATGATAGATATAGATTTGTGTAAGAGTATCCACGTGAATTGGAAGTCGATATCATCAGCAATACTCACCGTGAATCTCCTGGTGACGTCTCGAGGCCTCTGGCAGCTTTCAAAAATACCCTTTCATAGCCTCTAGATATCTATCATGCGTAGGAAAGCCTTTTCGGTACTGTGTTACATCACAACGTTTCTTTCTATTTACCGGCAGATTTGGTTTAAGAACAGAAGAGCAAAGTTCAGACGAAGTGAGACAAGTTGCAACATTTGTTCATCAACTTCATCTCACCATACACCCTACCAGGCATTTCAAAGAGACTCTGCCTATATATTAGGCTCGTCAGTAGGGTTGTCAAATCACGAGAGACCAGCATTTCTCATGGCTACCCATGTGGTGGAAAATAGCCACCAGGGTTTCCACTTCCCACTATACGGCTCCTGTAGCCCCGAGAGTTCTACATAAACACAACCGGACGCACAAACGGCCAGGCCATCACTGGTATTTTTCATTATGCTGCGTCTTGTCTCTTGACTCACTGCTATGATACCATTGAAACTCTACTATAAGAATCAGGCAGACTTCGAAGACAAAACTGTTGCTTCTATGTAGTCTAAGGCGTTTCTTTAACAATGTCGGGTGAAGGAGCCTTCATCATGGGCTTCACCTCACTATCGTTAACGAATGATTCTTATAATAACAACAATAATAATTATAAAATCTTCAACAAAGCAGACTTTTATAGCTGAACGAGATCATTTACACCCTGCCGGGAAAAACTATCCTTAAGCAGGTGAGACGTTAAACCCAGACCTCTTTTTGAGATAGAGAAAAACTTGTTGAGAGGTATTTAAGACTGCTTGCCTGGATTAACTAAACTTGATTTAAGTTATTCATTTAAAGGTCAGTTACTGAGTATAAACAAAACGCAATTTATACAATGTCACGTATATGAAACAAGGATATCCATAGTAACATTCTACTTCATTATTACTCGTAATCTCATAAAGTAAAATTGCAGTCGTCGCTCCTGAAACTTACTACAAGAAAGGAAGCATGTTTATATTTATAAGGACGATGCACCGTGGTTTAGTTACAATAACATATGGCTGGTTTTGAGTGCTTCAGTTTCCGAAACATCTGCTGTAGCAGTAAATGATAATGACTTTGCTCATTCTTGAATCGTTTTTTTATCTTTTTGCCCAAACAACCCTTTGACCAAGAGTTTACACGCTACCTATGGGAAATAATTCTAGTTCAATTTCTGTTCAAATCCATCTACTCTTATTGCAGCATTTGGCAAAAATAACCTACTTTTACTACACGAAGAAGTATATACTTGCATCATTATCGTCGAAATGTTAGATCTTTAGAAATGAGTTTAGGGCTAACAAAAAAATATTTTAAATGAATATTTTTCTCAACGTAAAAGAATTGCTTTAAGAATTAGTTTGCTGAAAATATTTTTCTACTCAATTCAGGCCATAAGATTTCCCTCTAAATATGAAAGGTATATTCTTCAAGGGTAAACTGCATGATTTCAGTTTTGTTCATTACCTTTATTCTTTGTCTTTCTAAGCCAAACCACCAGCCGCTTACATTTTCCCCAAACGTCCCCGAACATGATCACTTGGCTATAAGGCCACCTCCACTGCCTTGATGAAGCGAGGACGCTACTTGTTTCAAGAAGAGGGAAGATGGAGAATTAATTAGCACTGAGGCTAGAATAGCTAACGTCCTTGTCACTGGTTGTATAATGCACCCTACAAAGCCTCTTCATAACGGAATTTTGAGAAAGTATCAGAATTCATTGAACCAGGAGTGACCTATCAGCAATTGATTTCTGATATTCTATTGTCAAAGCAGTCATGACAGAAAATGATAAATTGCTTTTTAAATGAGAAAAAGCACTAAATAGATCCATTTACACTGTCGGTAAAACATGCAGCTCACACACAGCGATAACTTCATAAAACAACAGACAGCAAGGGCCAAGGCAGATAACAGCTGAAAATCGATTGAGGCGATCAAGTTTGGCCCTCTGTCCGAAACCTAAATGAAAAAGTACAAACTAATGTTAAAGCCAAATGTATGAATACATTGTCTCCTATAATCCAAACTTGTAGGGCGTATATGGGCTAGATGTCAGTAGTAGACATCCACCGCGACATAGAAATTTCGTTGGTAAACAGAAGTATACGTGCTTAGATTGATCTTGAGGCCAAGATCTGAGGTTGAAATTTCAAGCTCAGCACAAGTTTGGAGAGGCCTTTATCGTCAATCTTTAGAAAAAACAGTTGTGTTTGAGTCAAGGGTGCAGCTTTGGATGAAATTGATAAACTAGATTTCTGCACGTTACAATCACATCTTCCATCATTCTATTGACATCATGCCAGGGGAACAGACAAATTATTGGATAGCTTTCTCGGCTTACTCTAAGCTGAGGATAACTGATTTAACACGTGTCAAGAACTTAGCAGTGAGTCACAGTAAACTGTGAGTTACATACCACTCTAAAAGCGTAGGGGAAAGTGAGGAAGTTGTACAGGAGGCTGGCTTCAGTTAGTTAAACAAACAAAAGCAGGAGTGTGTACACTGCGACAGTACTGATTTAGTGCAGTAGCGTGTTTGTTTGAAGGTCCTCATGGGGGAGTCAGTGGAAGCACTTCCATTTTCTGTGGCAAACATCTTAAAGGACGATCTATCTAGAGGAGCGAAGAAGAAAGGCCAATCTAACAGCAACGCTAGCAAAGCTTTGACTCTTGCTGAACGACTTGCAGGTTGGTGAAGAATAGCTGTGGTTTAGGAGGGCGTTAAGCCAGATTAGTGTGTAAGAATTCTCATAAGCTACTTACCTGCTGCTGAAATGTTAAAGCACCTGATGAAATGGGAGTCATTATTTGAGGCCGGGATTGTACCAGTGATGCTAACTGCTCTTCAGTTTCTTTCAAACCAAAGATCCATGCTACATTTATTAGAAAACGTCGATATTGTTTTTCCAGCCTGAAATGGAAGAAAATTTTAGATTTTTAGCATCATTTATCTGACATCTTAAACGTCGGCTGACCTTCCCAGAGATGTGTTTGCAACACCCATCTAATTATGAGTACTTTCTACGAATATAGATTCCGATGACTCGTAATTGGCGACAACGGTGATCAAGAAACTACTTGGAGCCGTTTCATGGAAACAAATTTAAGTAGATAAGTGAGCTTACGAAGAATAATAAATAATTTTTTTCGTTTGCTTTTACTGAATAGGAAGTTCGGGTGATACCAGAAAAAATGAAAATATGGCCGCTGCCAACGGCCCAAATAGCCATCAAAAAAGTTAAAACTCTCCTTCAAATGTCTCCATCACGCGCGTCTAACTTATGTTATGTTGTGGGAGCAACGGCATAGTGAATCCTATAACGCTTTCAAAGAAGTTTAAACATAAATATCACCGGCCGTTATAGATCAGCAGCATATACGTAAGACGTTTATCTAGTAACTGAATGGAGATCTCAAACGTTTGTACGACACTGTACATCAGTAGGCAACACTTCACTATGGACCCAAGCACAGAGAACTTTCAACAACCTACACTATTATTCATGTCTGTTTTCAAAGCGTACTTCAGTGTTTCTGAGTTAATTGGGGTTCAGTGGTACTTCAGTGGTATTCTTAAGAACCGGGGTGCTAATTTTTTTAATAGAATATTCGATCAAATTAGCTGTTTATAATACAGGCGAAGAAGTCGGAAACCTTTCATCGACAGAACCGAATTAATCCTACCGTGAAAATAGTACCGGTCACATTCCACTGAAGCCATATCCTGTCAAAGGATTATTAATTGCTCAGAGCCTTTCTGTACTGATAACCGTCAATCTAAGGGTACCACATTAGAAGTCTCCTCTATTTTGTTTGATTGACTCACCAATTATCCAACGCACAGTCATTACCGATCCTTCATTGAGATAAAAACATAATTTGTAATCATCCTGCAAACGCGTTTGTCCGTGAAATGGAGAAGGCGCCAAATTTCTTCAATAAGCAGAAGATTATTCGGAGATAACTAAATGTCTTATTTATCGCATGCAGTTGGATTTAAATGAAATAAGAACTTAGTCGTTGAAATTTTTTGCGGCAACTTTTTTTTAGTTGCAACCGACAAAAGAAAGCCAACTACGCTTGTTGAAAATTGTCAGTGAATTTTGCACCATTTCATTCTACGTATAACTACGGTCTGTAATAGATTACTTGAACTTTCTGCATAAAATATTACAATTGGTGAGGTGTTGAATCTGTAATTGCAATAAAGCAAATCATACGTAAAGCTATGCACTCGGCTATGTTGCATACGTAAAGCTATGCACTAGCTATGTTGTGTTTGGCGAGTAAAGTATGTGGTTTCCTCGTGTTACTTGAATTTTATGAAAAGTTTCGCTGTACAGTATATGCAAAGATGATTGCTGTGTGTAGGTGGTCAGTTGTAATGTTTATCATGCATGACAGTTATCGTCCTATGAACATGTACTTAAGCAAACACTGATCAAAACGATTTCAAAAACTGCTAAGTGCATAGCTGACTGACTCAGTAACGTTCTATTTCCATGCTCAGATGTGATTATGGACGCCAAGATTAATGCAGAAGGCGGACTAAGTCAGAAACGACGGCGGACGCGCACGGCATTCACCCAATATCAACTGAAGACCTTGGAGAATACATTTTCACACACGCACTACCCTGATATTGTGATGAGGGAACAGTTAAACATGTGCACAAGCTTGCCAGACTCAACAATACAGGTGATAGTTATTTCCTTAGCCAAGACTGACTATTTCTGAGAGCAATTAGTTGTATGATTGAGTCATTACTCGAATATATGCTTTTGGTTAGCTCGCTAAATTTCAGATTTCTATCACTCGGCTCAGGTCACGTTTTGTTATCCGTTCAGTATCTTCGCTGAATTTTTTGGGGATGGCGATTTGCAAAGGGTGTTCATCTTATTCAGGTGCAGCAACAAGTGCTATTTAATCCCCGCAAAACATACATGCTAATGAGTATGGTACGTAAGGGATTGTATACAGCCCATGGAATAATTAAGCAAACACGAAGCAAAGAAATATTGATCATGTAAAATGAAAGTGACACCCAATCTCCTGAGATATTTTGAATCAGGTCATTGATATGATGATGTGGAAATTATGTGAAGGAAGGAATATCATACATTGTGCGCTATTTAGGCAAGATAATGATCTCTTAAACTAAGCTATTATCCAACATCGTCTTGCAGATTTGGTTTAAAAACAGGAGAGCAAAGTTCAGGAAGCAAAAGACCAGCCCTGTCATACCTGTCAACAGAAGAAAAAACTTCAAGAACTCAGGGATGCAATTTTATCTGACTCGTTTATCAAGTTTACCGTTCACGCCAACTTTCTCGCCACAAGGAAACACCCCTTCAAACACTGGGCAAAATAAAGACGAGATGCCTCCCTTACCACCAATCACAGCGATGTTACCTACGCTTACATCTGCTTGGAAGCTCGTTTAGAACCCAACGAAAGTGTTTTTT